AGGGTTCATCAGAGCATACCACCAACTAACGAAATAAGACAAATTGGATTAGAAAATGATGCACCAACCCGGACCTGAATTCTAAAGAACACTTTCTTCTCCGTGATCACCCCTTTTTGCAGCATGACAACGAACACTATTATAGTGAAACATGGACTGGAATTTTCGTCTAGACAAAGTTATCGAGAAGCACAGCTTGTTTTTCCTAAACTGCGCTACATATCACGCATGATTTTATTTTATCTAAGCATCCATTCATCTGCGATCTCCTGAACTTCCCAAACTTTTGAAGAATGTTCACAGTCATAGTTCTACAAAATCTCATATCGCTATCATTCCCTCCTTGTGAACAATGGAAAGAAGGACTTGCTCACATTCAAACAGGATCCACAAAGATAGCGAAACTGGTGACTTACTGGAGTTAGTAAAACATCTTACTGATTAAAGGTAATTAGGTGTGCGTTGGCAAATCACGATAACTTTCCAGGCTTGGTCCTGTCTTATCTGTAGACATTGGATTGGACGGCAGATGTGCTATACGTATTTCGGCACTTTGCGCTTACAGCTTCATCATTTTTCAGTTTGTCACCCATCAAATCTGGTCGTTTTCAGTGTGGTGAGGTTGAGGCATATTTATCCTTTGACAATAATAGTATTTTGCATAGCCTCTGGGCTTCGAAAATCTTAACAGATTTTCAGGGTTCATCCTATATTGAAAAATATTTCTGGCTCCGAAATGCCTATTATTACCAAACATAAATGTCTCGATCATTCTTTAAGTATAAACACAAGTAGTAGAGGAGAGAGTGGCGTTACTGACCAGCAAATATGATGGTGTGGAGATAACTTCAATCCACCCATGTCTGTAGTGCAGAACATTTTGTTTAATTACGGCTCCTTATGGTCTAGTCGGATGTCACGAACTGATGGTGATGATGCTGATTTATCATGCAAACTACCCCATTAAATCGTGTTTAGAACGTTGAATCGGTTTTACTTCCTACGCAGTAATCCCATTACAAGCAAACTAGATAATTTACTAAAATACGAAGCCTACTCAAGACCCTATAAAATCTAAAAACTAATATATAAATAAAAAGGCTTTAATAGCTGGACACGGTTGTAATAATAAAAGCCATAAACACTAACTGAACAGAGTTACTTCAACGAGTAGCGCTACTACGGCTTGTGTGGTTTTTCTATCAAGGTCTTTAATATTTAAAACCCAGTTAAAACGTTTTAGTGACAATTAAAAAGATTTCAGAGACTACCTAAACTATAAGTAGGCGTTTAGAATGCCTTGGTAAGTTAAGAATTGAAACTGTTACTAGAAATTTACATGAAGTCCTATGTATATCTGGAAATGCACAATCGTTTTTTGCAATGAAATAATCTAGAATGCAGTTGACATCCCAGGTGTCTGATAGGCGTCGTTAGGAACAACACAGACTGTTTCCAGGGTTCAGAATTCCTTATTCAAAATTTCGAGAGGAATTTCATATAAGGCCAGTGGTTGATTTCTTAGACCTACAACCGGCAGAGCATCAGTATAAACATAGATAGAAGTTTAATATTTAGGTTGTCGCATATCATTACGACTGATAAGCAACCATCTTCCTTATCATCAAGTAACAGGACTAAATTGTAGCCCAGTTTTACCTTAGTTTTCAATAACTGTTTAACGTTTGCTCCTCTGTGATCCTAACAACGTTCTAGAGGCTTTATAGGCCTCCATATCAATAATTATTATGTGATGATAGCCAATAACGTTTTGATAATAAAGGGACACACCTTCAAGTAGGTATCAAATATTTACTGTTATAAGAAAGATAAACAAAATTGGAGGTGACTTTCCATGTATAATACATTTTTCAGCGGATGCGAATACTTGATGGAAACTAATTACCGAAATGAGAGAAGTATTCTTATCAGTCACAGAACTATATACTCAAAGAAAAAGGATAAACTAATTCGGTCTAATCCGAAGATGAGCAACCAACGGTAGAGTTGTCACAATATAAGAAATGAAATTGATAACCGGTTACTGAAAATAAGCGTTCTCAAAACCAACGGCGAACGTGTTCGATTGTCATTATTATGAACAAAACAACAGTAACCAAATTATAGTAAATTAATATGGCGACAACTAAAAGACGATGTCAAACAACGCACAAATAAAAATGTTATTAAGATACTCAACAAAATCTAGGGCATTGTAAAAAGTCGGAATCTTCGAAAAATATAGTATCAATAATTCAATGAAGACGAAAAAGAGGGACAAACGTACAAAATTACGGACGAAGGAAGAACAAAGGGTACATACAACGAAATTACAAGGAAATATATGATATTTATAAGTATTTGATTTTATAGTATGAACTATGAATTCAACAAATAACGTAATAGGATCAAGAAGTACTAGATAACCACAAGCGAATGTACTGTATTTAGAATTCGAAATCAAGCATTCAACAAATACAACGAAATCATTAGTTCATTTAAACATCACGAAATACTTTTGCAGTTGAATTTACGAGCCATTCTGAGATAGAACACCTAGAGGAACCGGACAGCAGTTTCGTTCTAGTGTGTGACTCCTCAGCAATGCGCATCCACGATCCCGGATACGGGATTTGAACCCAAGACCTAAAATCTCGCGTGCGAACGATTAATCTTCAGACCACAGAGCGGGCATCCAGCAATGATAATGTGCAACCATTCATTGTCTGAAGTGAAAAATTGTCTCACATCTGAGCGGGTTATACTCACTGGTCACGGCCTCTCACTAGGACTCCAGGAAATCCATCTTCAAGCTAGTCACTAGTAAGCACGTGACGAATCCCATCCTAGGACAAGAAGGCCACCCGGAGATTTTAGGTTATCAATGATGGTCTAGCATAGATCGACTGGTGAATTTAACTTTCAAAATACTACAATCTCCACAACTCCCAATACTGAAAGTGGAATTATTCATACACATCAAATTCAGGTGTGAAACCAGTATTACTTACGCTATATTAACCTAACTAATCTCCTTGTAATTGTCGTAAGAGGACTTTTGTCTTGCCTATAAAATGCGACGATCAGCAATCAAGAAGAATCAGATGCAATTACGTTCGGTTGCCTGATTTTAGCTAGTACTTCACTTAAGTGAACTGCTAAAACTGGACCACTATACTCAAAAACCTCAGAGTTTGGTCCATCGCTTTAGTTTACCCACAACCTTTTCAGCCTCACTAAAATTTAAAGAACTTACATCAGATCGACATTCAGGTAACTAATATGTGGTTGAGGATCAGTTGAACGGTTTCCTAAAGTGTTCACTACATCATCCCAATCTCCCAGATTGGGTGTGAATAATATTGTCGCCATTTTCCTAGACAGTTTCACAACCTGACGGATTTTTAACTCGTTTCCTAGATCATTCTGGACAGATGTCTGGCGTTACCTACCTCCAATGAGATAAAGTCAAATATGTGCTCGAACTACACCACAGCCAGAGTCTAAACATGTGCTCTAGGATGACCGACAGTCTTCCATCGAGCCTTCCAACGATGACTAGTGACAATGTGATCTATTCGAGTACATCGATGAGTAGACCGTGTAGTTCACCATACCAGACGATGTGTCTTCTTATGTTCAAAGTTGGTATTTGCTAGAAATAGACGGTTATCTGAGCATAATTGCGACAGACGGTTACGATTGTCTATTTGGTGTGCCACAACACTGCAAGATTAATCTAAGTGCATTTCGGTTTGGTCTAGTTTACCTACTTGGGAATCAAAATTATCTGCCACTATCACTACATCAGACAGTTTCGCTTTTTGACGGAGGTTGGGTAGCTTCCTATAAAATTTATTATCATCCAAGCTGAAGCTCAGTGGGATCGTATGCAGAGACAATGGCATACGTCTCAATCTTCTGGAGATCTTGCTATTCCGTTTAGCTGGACAGCGCCCAAGCGACTGCCTATTAGAATCCAGTTCCAGAAAGCCTATTTCGCTCTGGAACTTAGTGGTGTACACAGATACAAAAATATTAAAACAGCCTAGTTTTTTATACTGACAAGGTGATGTCAAATGAGTGACCGATCATATACGGCTTTTGATGTGTTAGCTCCTCACTTCAGATGATACCGCCGGAGACAGAAATCCATAGGATCATATGTAACATTTTTTGAGTTGACCTTTTCTAATCCCCTCTTTCCTTCGGAAGAAGATGGCATCGCCTCAGACACTGGTTGTTTGAGGCAAGCACCTTACTTCCACACACCTCTCTACAGTGAGCAGTACGACTTCATCCTCGAACCTTGGGTTCGCTGCTCTTTGTTTTACCACTCTTTCGAACCAATCTTCTCATTATGGCAAAACCTTGAGGAACGATTGTTCCATCTAGTAGAGCCCGAGTGGTTCATCACAATTGGCAAGCCAGACCACCACATCAAGGTGGTTATGGTTGGGCATGACTATTTCAACTAAATCCAATCGATTCAACGTCACATGGTGAAATAATGCAACAGAATTTAAATCATGATGTGGGACGGACTATTAAAATAACTTTCGTGAATAATAAATTTGCAGAGAAATATACTGTCAAGTATTTTAAATAGATTTGCATAAGTTAGCGCAACTACTATTATATATATATATATATATATATATATATATATATATATATATAGTTATTATTGATAATAAGATAATACACATTGAACCTCCTGAACTTATTTGACGTGTTTGAAAGAGCATTTAGAGTGCGTTGAAGCTCCGTTTAATGGACAACCTCCGTTAAAATTAAAGTATATCGAAGTTAACGCTAAAAGTTTGGTAATTTTTCAAGTAGTGGTCATGTACGAACAAGAAATATAAGACCATGAAATTCAAAATAATCTTTATGTTATGACTGGTAGTCACCAATTTATGTCGGAATCGCTTATTACTTATACTTGTAGAACGAGGAATCACTTAAATTCACACGCTGCAAAGTAAGACCATCAAGACTGTTACAAGTGAAGATTTATTAACCCAAAAACACGATGACAACCCTAGTCAGAAATACACTCATTTTGATTATTAATTAGGATGGAATCACATGCATGAAAAGTACCCAGGGTTATAACAAATCATTTTGGCATTATCATGTTAAGCATAGATCACGTCAACGTAATACAAGAATATCGTATCTTACATGATACTCAAACAAATTAATGTTATACCCAACAAAATATCACACTGGAAAACAAAATAAATACTACACTGAATAATCATCACACTGAATTGAAACGGATGTAACAGTGAACAAAAATCACGATGAGTAAAAGAATGCAATTTTGCTCTTTAATAGCGTCATTTTACTCTACTTGGTAGTTTTTATCTTACTACCAGTTACCTGTGTTGGGAAAAATTGGTTACTAAGTTTATATGGGTTTCAAGAATCTCTAAATGGATCAGAGTGGAGAACACACAGTTCTATAATTTCAAAACGTCAAACAACAGAATCTCTTGCTTCTCTACTGAAATAAGATTGAATGTATTTGAATTCGATGCTTATCTCAATCTATACGTGACTACAGAGTCAATTACCTCATTAAAATTAATTCTTGTACCCTGATCACTAAATCTTGTATGAATTAAACACAACTAGTTTTATAGATTGCTCAATAGTGTAATATTAGGAGCAGAATAATTGATATTCAATACTTTCAATACAATCGACTAAAGAGCTTTGAGTGGAATAGTTCTGGATTTGAACAGTAAACAGATAACTTAGCGTAAAACAATGGAAGCCAATAACGAAAGGTATATAAGACAAACGGATTGAATGATGCATAGAAGTTATGCTCCTTACCTTGAGATAATTCGGTCATCTAAACTGTCCAAAAATAAGAACAAGGAGCAAGTACTATATACTTTAAGAAAAGAGCTTTTCATAAGATTCGCCTGTTACTATGTTTTCCTTGACAATCAAGTGTTAGTAGCAACGTCGATGCACGAACTGTGGCATGAAGTCAGTTACATTAAGTGCAAATATCGTAGCCAAAGATGGAATACATTAAATACGCCCAGGTATACTTAATAATTCTTCCATTGTAATTATTCTCTTCGTAAAATGACATTTACGAATACAGAGTTTTTTAAATTAGCAAACAAATTAGTAGCATGGACTTTTTCACACACTGAAGTAATTAAGAAGAAAGTAAAGCTCCGGAAAAAACCATCACCATTAAGACTTATCACTTGACAACTACTTGTATCGAATCCAATGAGAGCATCAAAAACAAAGTATAATCTTTCATTTTAAAGATTTAAACCAATATTAATGGACTATGAAGAAAATCAATCAGACCAGGTATTTTCTTTACAAAGCAATTTCTTTCATCCATAAAATGATTCTGTTTTCATAAATTCCAATGAACAAATGTTTTCTAATTAAATAAATTTATGAATACGATGTATAAACATAGAAAACGATTTAGCAAAACAAATATTAAAAGTATTCTTTGATAATATAAAAAAGGTGGATGTACATCTAAACACTTTAAAACTGTATGTATATGTTTATAAAGTAGATATCACAAGTAAACAATAGACTAATATTCATTACAATTATGTTACCAAGTCATATGGAACAAGATGTGTAAGGATATAACTTTTGCAAGAACAATAATGTTCTTCGAGCATACTTTAGTAAACCGAAATTAATGAATTTCAGATAAGGTAGTTTGACTGTGAGATTTGTCTTTATTGTTGCGTCAAGTGGGGATTATAACGTAGGAAAACACTTGATACAAAATTGTACGATGAGGTCAAATAAAATTGTTGCATAGAACTTAGCTGTACATTTTTTGACAACAAACGATGGAATTAAGGCGAATAAGAAAACTTTGAGTTCAGATTTTAATGTGATGCGTTTCAAATTTTGTTTTTACACAGACTGAATATAAATAAACGAGTAATACTAGTTCGGCCATGGTATTCCAGCAAAACAAGACGTGACAGGATCTGGAAGTCTGGCTGTGGCCAAGAATGGGGCAAATCTTTCAATGCATTCAACTAGAGTGGATCGTTTTATTTGTTCTTTAAACATAATTTCTTCTAAGTGAGCTGGAAGATGAGGTAAAATTCGTCCAAATAATCGAAGAAGTGAGATATTTTGTATTGCTCCAGGATGGCTCAAAATAGATAGAAGTAATGTTTGTTGAGATTCAACAGGTAAATTATTGGTTAATTCACATAAGACATCTTTTGGTATTTTTTTACACAATTCATCAAGATTAAAAATAGTGGAATCGACTTCTAAATTATTACTACCTTTTACTTCTGATGTGGTTTCATCACTGTCGTATTCACTGCTACTATTACTACTACTGTGTATTGTACTGTTAACACTATTATTGGACATATGTACACCCTCAAAATGTTTTGAAATATTCTTGATATCATTGAACATATTCGTTTCACTTACATTGTTATTGGATAAAAATGTCGGGAATATGTAGAGATGAACCTAAATAAGCAAAATAAAGTAAATTTAACAAGATTAACTCTAAACGGAAACAATTTAACGGTTCTTGAGTTATAGATGCACTTCGAAACCTGTTGGTTGCCAGATATGAGCCCACGAACTTAAATATGAATCGAAACAAAATTATTGCTGGTCTGTTTGGTTATAATGACTGGTGTAATCCCGACATGGTGAAAAAATTCGAGATATTCGTTTATGCATTGGTTTATCACACAAAAAGTTATGAACATCGTTAGGTTTCCTTCATGTATATTTAAACTTGAATATACGTTCATGCACATCATATACGTAACCCTTCAACCGTAGTTAACACGATGAAGTGAAATAGTCAAATAACTGGGCCAGTTCGAAAATATAAGGACAACAAGGGTAAAAAAGTAATCATAAAGTGATCACTACCTCATCAACTGATTTGCACACACCGGCGTTATTTAGGATCTTGTCAACAATATCTTCCTTGAATAATCAAATGGATACCAATCACTGAATATGTTACGAGTGAGACATTCTGTCACATGTAACAAATATATTATCAACATATCCAACACAAAAACTGCCTACATTTCATACGAAACATGTTTTACATATTTGTTAGGGAATTAGCCGATAACTGAATTGAGGACTAGTGAGTTAGTACAACATCAATGTGCGTTTAAATCTCAACACTGTAACCGAACAGAACATACAAAAAACATCGAAGTGTGGCCTCTCCCAGGTAGGAATCTTAATAGTCACTTAGTATGAATTTGAAGTAAATCGCCTAACGAATGGGACATTTGTAAATAAATGGTATAATTCCAAGTCAAGCATACAATAAAGTATCGGTTTATTTTGTAGCATGTAATTGCCCAATTCACAATATATTTAATAATAATGAAGGAATAATATAATGATTAATTATCCGGAGATTTGCTGAATCATAACAATTAATTAATAATCTAATATTTACTTGTATTATGAGCCGACGTCGAAGTAGCCAAGCAATCAAATTTATTTTTTCCGTTAAGGGTAAGTTTGTCCATGATGTCTTTGAAGATCGATTACGAACAACATCCGAATCCCCATCATAATGAAGGTTGTCAACGATAGAATTGGATGAATCGAAATGATCTTTTAGTATAAAACTTGTCGAAAACGATGTTAAAAGCTACAAGTTATAATTAAATAAAGGTAGTAAATAGGTAATATTCGATCAATCGCTAATTAAGTGAATTTCTAGACATAAACGTTACATTATAAGCTTCTTAAGCAAATAAATGTATAGAATTATTGAGGGATATTCAAAAAAGATAAACATTGATATAAAAGTGTTAGTCAGGAACTATTGGAATTCCGGGAGAACTGAACAGTCGCTTTTTCTATTCTGCAAGTATTTAGCAGTATAAATTCACCATCGTTACATGAACTGAGCCGATAACTTCTGCGGGTCATATTGAACATTTTTAGCTATTTCAGTGATGGACTTCGTACGGTTGATAAATACTTTCTGGCACAAGCAGTGCAATTCAGTGTCGTGTGATTTTTGTTGTATTGGGTACCATTAATTCAGTAAAAAATATTATACTTTAAAAGTTATGGCCTCTTATATGAAAATATGGATAAGCATTCAATTAATTAGAGGCATGTGTAAACCGCTACAATCAAAGGCTTAGATGATCTCATACAGTGCTTGGACGTGCATGGTTTTAGTTTTCCTGGAAAAATAACAGGACTTGAAATATCAACACAGAAAACACATAAATTATAGATTTTAAAATAAAGTATTATGTAAAGAAACATACCTAATTAACAAAAATCCAAAAATAAGACATTATTATTGTAAATATTATCATAATTAAATTACCTCAGCAAAGTTGACATCAGGAAACGATGTTGCAAATTGACCAATTAATTGAGGTGTGAACCAAGCTTTAGAATGAGGTGCAAGAATATACATATTATTAGCGACAATTGGATAAACAATCAATGCATGACCACGATAAATTAACCACAAGGCTAAATTCAAACAATGTGACTGAGAATGAAACCGCTGTGCCAAATTATACAAGCTAATTGTTGGCGATAAAGCACTTATGAAGCTAGATTTTAAAGAAAAAAGACAAATGAAAATATAACCACAATAAAAGTAACTCGAAATACTACATAATGATCAGCAGAACAATAATTATATCTTAAATTAATCATTATTATTATGGTACAGTAATTTAATTAATTACTACTAACGTTATAATTCGATATGGTCACATGATTGTAATAAATATCTAACTAACTGAATGATAAAGAAGAAAGCGTTCGCACGATCCAGATTTATCTAGTAGAGACATCAACTGACTGACATACAACTTACGATGTTTGTCATTTTACATTCCATTTATATATGTTAATCTGATAATCCAACCAGGGTCATCAAAGTTACAATTAACTGCCTAAATAAAATGCCATTCTGAGAATCACGTTGATAATGTAACTCATTCATTACGTACAAATTCGTATGTTCAGCTTTGAACCACACTTTTCATACGACGAACAGTGATACTATCCAGCTGTCCGAATCGAAGTAGATGGAGTAAAGCCCTAAAGTGCAACCCAGTGGTTGGAAGTCGAACATCTTAACCACCACACCACAGCTCCACTGGAAAATCGATTCAAACTGCTAAGCAACTAAATCGTGCTACTAGCAATAACATAATATAAATTATTCATCAAATAATAATCATAATGATGACCTAATTCTCAGTACTGATCGAATCTTATTGGTTAAGGAACCCATTATGACCATTGAGAATGATGCATTAATGAGATGCCTTTGAGTGCTCGATGAATATCATGAGGAAGTTGATTACAATTATAGTTTACATTGTACACTAACATTTTTCAATTAAACATGGTGTTAAATTAGCACAAAGAAATTTAAACTTGATTATTAACAATTATGGCAATAAAAATCAATAAGCGGCTATCGATATGGTCCTATTGACAAACAAGATAAATCCATTGTTCTGCCTCTATTGCCTCAAGTTTGTTGTAACACTGACGGATCTAGTTTAATTGCCTGTAATTTGAATGGTTATGAGGACATTAAAAAAGTAATGTATAAAATTGGCATTTCTCACGCTCAGTTAATTACCATCTATAATTAAGAAATAGAGGGATAAAAACAAAGTAATTATAGAATGAAAACTTGATCTCTACAAGTTTTAGAAACAACAATGGTAGTGCATAGATCATAAATTCGTACGAAGTAACGCATCCAAAGACCTTAAGAAAAATGATATCTATTATATTTGCTCATAGTTATCAGGAAGAGGATAAATACTCTAGAGATATTAATGTGAGATTAAAAATTTGATTTCTGAAGTAAATCATAAGTATGAGTGTACTAGAAAGTAAAATTACTGTTAAAACTTTGAAAACGAACAAATAATTGAATAATACACCTAAGTTTAATGAGCATTTAATACTCACTCATCCAGTCAGTTATACGCAACGTAGAACTAGTACCAGTTCAAGTCTCCATACCACATTAGCACAACCAGATAAAATTATCTCAAGAAAAATTCCAGAGTAGTAGGAATAATAACAATAGTAGTAGCATTAATAGTAGAAGTGTAGTCTACCAGAACTCAGGTAGGGAAAACAAATTTGCTGTTTCACGCGATATGTTTAAAAAGCTTACATTGTAACAGCGAAATGTTGAATATTTGAATTTATTCAACGAGATGTCCATGTTGTACAATCATGAGTTAATAATATTGGTCGTTTGGGGAAATTCGAGAAGTGCTAAGTAGTAGAAACAATATAGTAACAATCAAACAGAAACACTAAACACGCATTTGTGCGTTTAAAGGAAATAATATGTCTGAATGCAGGGTCTCAACACTGAAGTTTTGAAACAAAGCTTAACATTTTACAGTATCTCACTATCTTTTTACCTAATGCTATAAACAGGAAGCTTCGAATTAAATAGCGTCTAATTTTTGGTAATAGTACTGATGACAAAAGTTAAGTCTAGTGAAGTTGAAGTGAACAAAGACTTGGTGGCGATAACCCATTTATTGTTTAATGCAAAACTAAAGAGTGCTCTAATAAAATATGAACACTCTATATTAAATACATGATTTGCATGTCTTCCATCAGTTGTTCTTTACATGATCCATGATAGTCCAATCCTGTCACTATACAATTGTTCTCTATTGAATCCTCTCAATCTTCTGCTGACAGGCATTCCACTTCCTAATGGTGCTACATGATATTTATATCTGTCAACATATGTAGCATACACCACGAAGTCAGTGAAACAGATAATCGTGAGAAAATACACATAATAAGGATTCAAACAACAACAGAACCAAGATGGGTTCGGATTCATAAACTCTTACCATAAAAAATGTTACACAAGCAATAAAATTTGATACAAAATGAATAACATTTTGAAATTCCATTACGACAACAGTATATATAATTTAATAAATTATTCACATTACATAAAATATTACTTCATATGCATAATTTTATCCATGAGGAAGAACACTTCTTTTAAATTTGAAAGAAAACTGGATAAGTTAAGAATGACCTTTATAATTCAAATAAAACAAATTTATTTCAGTGGTAACTTATAATAAATAGGAGTTCAAAGCTCTTTTTCTAAAAAAAATAAATACTTTTATTTCAAAGCGATTTATTGAATGTAGGTGTAAATAGAGGAGCAGATGAAGACAAACCTGAAGAAAATGTAGTTAATAATATTTTAAAACAGTTTCTGTAGCATGCTACTTAGTTTTTATTTATTCCTCATTAGTACATCACTATCGTTTGTCTCGTTTGCTAAACTAAATATGGGATAGGATATGAGCATTCTCTAAGTAAAAAATAATTTTATTGACTTAGGTATTAAGAGGAAGCAAAACATCAAAAAGAGATTATGGTGAAATGTAACACGAATTTGAACATCAGAACTTTCCAACATCTACCAACTGACCAGTGTTTGGGTCAGATGTATGGCCTAAAATAAGAAAGGCAAGTCAGTTAATGGTGTTATAATCATACATTAATTAGAACAGTTGAGAATAATACAGTGCAAGTTAAATCAATGTATGTGTCAACATACTACTGCATATAGAATAAGCTTCAGAAATGGCTAAATTTCCATATAATTGTCCTACATAAATAATCACTCTACTGTACAGATATTCACATTTTAAATACTATATTTTTTGATAAATAAACACTTTAAATTCAATTTCTATGACACTGAATTCTTATATAAACGAGTGAATTCTACGTTTTCTTTCTAACGGTTCGTAAGCTTTGTTTATCAATATCATAGAAACAATTAAAGCTAAAATAAATGCTAATTATGAGAGAGAAAAAATAATTGACATTATGCAAAACATAAAGTTCCTTTTTGTTTCATCTTCATTTATACAAATTTAACACTGTACATTCTTCTTCTTATAAAAACAAAAAGCATTAGAATTGAAAAACGAATATATCGTTGAATTTAATGTATATTTTGCTTAATTCTATATGAAAAAAACAAACATTTTAAGAATGCTTCATCTGAAACGTAATAAAGTTTGCGTGTTGATAATGTAAGTTAATTGAACAGTAAACACGATCAAAGTGAAACATGTACAAACAAAATTTCTAACCCTTTTGTTGTGCTCACATACGTATAAACGTATAATTCAGTAACCGTTAAATAAAAACTGTTATAAATGATAAATATGTAGTGAAGTTTGAAAAATTACAGTTCAGTAAACAAAGAAGGGGGAAAAACAAATAAAAAAATACAAGTATATAAATAGGCCTTATTTTAATTAGTTCTCCTAGTATTGAATAAATAAACTATCGAATACTATATCAACCTTCAGGGAGGACAATGAATAGTAGCAACAATAATTTAACTTCCAATTTTAATGGAACACGGCACAATGCTTGTTTAGAATATGAATTGCCTAATTTATTTGTTGCAATCTTTGGATTTCTCACAATTATATTTGGCAGTGCAGGAAGTATATTGACATACACTTATTTATTTATGTTTCGTAGAAGTTCTAAAACGGTGAGTGTAACCACTACAACAACTAGAACTGAAAGAACAAGTAATAACAGTTGTTCAAGTGCAGGAGGTAGTGATATTCAACCAAAACAAAGTAATCTACGTGAATCAACTCAACTATTAATGGCTTGTTTAGCATTAGTAGATTTTCTTGGTCAAAATATCAGTTGTCTACGTTATACAATTCTTGCTTTAAAACAATATGATATAAGATTATTTTATACAGATATATTTTGTCGATTACAATTATTTGCTGAATACTGTTGTCAAGATAGCTCAGCATGGTTTATGTGTGCAATGACTGGTGAAAGATTTTGGTTATTAGCAAAACCAACATCCTCTTATGGTATGAATAAAAAACAAATTAAACCAGCAGTATTGGTATTAATAATATGTACTTTAGTTATAATTGGTAAAAATTCAGTTCTACTTGCAGGTAGTCAAGATGTTTGCAGTGAAGGTTATACAGACAAAACATTTTTCCTTGTTGATTTAATCTTTAAGTGTCTTATCCCATTCATTCTATTAATGACTACAAGTATTGGAAACTTAGTATTAATGCATCGTCAATTAGTAAAAATGCACTCTGAACACATGACAATTAATAAAGGATTATCTGTTGTAACAATGAGTCGTAAAGATAAAAAGAAACTGCCACCGACAACAGCAGCTATGTGGGAAGTGATATTTGCATGTCGTATGATGATTGTATCAAGTATTGTATACATTATTGGTGCATTGCCAATTAATTTATTTAAATTATCAATGTCGAATTTTAAAAATGTACTTACAGCACGTGATATTTGTTCAGTTACAGATATTATTTATAATACTATTAATATAATGTTTTGGACATGTGTAGGATTACGATTTTATTTGTATATATTTAGTTCACCAAGGGTACGTCGTGATATGTTTTTAATATGTCGAATGATTTTAGTGAAATTACATTGTTTATCACCAATAAGAAGAAAATCGAAAGGAAATGAAACATCACAAAGTAAATCAGGAATAACT